ACAAAACTATTTCTAGGATTGCATATATTTAGGATGAACGATTTATGCAGTCTTTGAAATAAAGCGAAAATTAATATAAAGAGGGGTTGACATAATGCTCGATTTTAAGGTTTAATTGTGTGAGTTAAGAAAAATAATTATATTTTTTAATGTCATGGAATTTACCGTTAGCTTTTTGTGTTTATAGAAATTTGAAAAAGCTTGCGGTTTCGGAAATATAGGGTGTCAAAAATTCAAATCTTACAAATTTCAAGAGGCGATAACTTAAGAGGGGGTAGAGATGGAAAAAAATTTTCTTCTATCGAAATGAACTATTTGTTAGTGTCTAAGAGTTCCTAAAATTTCAAGCTTGGGATCTAGAAGAAAAACGAAATCAAAAATTTGGAAAAAAAAGACTTTAGATAACGGTAAATTTGAACTGCCATTTTGTTTTTCTAAAGTTTAACTATAGTATACTGCGCTAGGGGAAGCAAGCTGCTGCCTTTCTGCGTTTGCAAAATTTCAAAAATGCTTATGGTTTCATTGCAACAAATAGTTAAAAAAGGCCATTTTTAGGGTTTTGGGGGGGTATAACTTCTAGACGGGTGGAGATAGGTAAAAATTTTGTTCTAGGAAAATAAGTTTCTAGTAAAGATCTATGTACGTATAAAATTTCAGCTTTCTAACTTCAAGGGTGTAGAAGTTTTGTAAACAGACACACGGACAGACGGACGGACGGACGGACGGACGGACGGACAGAGTGAAACTAATAAGCACTTTTTTTCAAAATTTTTTTGGAAAAGTGCTAAAAAGGACGGCATTACGTTTTTCAAAATGCCTTTTATGATCTATTATTGCTACCTTTACACTTGAACTATTGATGCCGATAAATCCTACTATCTCTTTATCAGTAATTAAAACCTCTTGTTAATGCCCATTGAATTCATATAATTTCGAAGCCGATTCTATTATTATAGAAGCATCTTATTTCTTTTATTAAATCAATTAACTTTTATCAAGGTAAATTGTCTTTGTATGTTGAACTGGTTACAGGTTGATGTTGGTGTAGAATGCTGAAGTCCCTTAAAAATTAAAATTAGTTTTGATTAAAAATTAATTTTGTGCTAGAAACACAAAAATCAACAGTTAATCTTTGAAAAAGAAACGTCCAGGCCTTGTAAATTTTTTGTTTGACATTTTTTTTCATTTCTCTCGTATAACTTACGAATATATTGGCTTTTATCATTGTTATCATTAAACTATCGCTGTTCTACTGTAAATACAAAATAAGGTTTATGAATACATATATCGTGTATAAATATGTGCCAGGAATAAAACAAGACTACCCAGAATGTAAACAAACACCACATACGTAACTTAATAAAATACAAATGAACATAATCTGGTGTACATTTTATACATACATAATAAGTGTACAAATGTAGTTATGTCAGGGATGGAGTCAATAATTTGAAGTTGCTTGCAAATAATATTCATATTTAAGGGAAAATTAATTATTATTATTTTTAATATTATTTCTCCTGATATTAAATATTTGAAGTCTTCTTTCAAGACCGAATACCCAAATTTTCAAATAACTATATAATACAATTATTACTTGCAATTTCCGAATCTTCATATATATACCAATCTTCATTATTCAAGTTAAACTTCTCTGAGTCTATATTTAAGAATTTTTGTAACTAAGTTTGTAAGAATTACAAAAGATTCTTAAATACAAAACATTATTTAATTTAACAAATGCTCGTCCAGCCTCATGTTAAAAATTCTTTTCTCTTATGAGCTTAAATATTGAATGAAAAAATCACTAGAAATATGCAATGACAAGTATCAGCTTCATGTTATATTTCAAATTATTGTGAAATAAAATAGTGTACGTATCTTAAATTAAGTTTTCCAGTTGTTTACATGTACAAAAAACCTTAAAGTGCAATAAGCCACAAGAATTGTATATTGAAATCCAAAGATCCTCGATAGTCTTCTTCTAAGTTTTTACCATCCCTGATATTTACATACTCGTATATGCTAATATTAATACGAAAAATGTTATATTAACTTAGATATCTGAAATCTACGGCTATACTGTTATTAGAAAATAAATAGTAGTTAAAACATCCACTTACAATATAAATTGCACGGTATGATATTGAATTTTGTGTATAACAAAATAAAAAGCATTGACATAAAAATTTTTAATGAATTTGACTTGCATCAATTTATGTATGAACAACAGCTTGTAAAAAATTTTGTCCTATAATAGCGATAATTCTGCATAAGTAAAACTGTGAAAATCCAGCTCTTATAATCGCTTTATTGGCTGGTAGGAGAAGCAGTACTTAATTCAACCTTATGCAAAGGCAATATTCAACCAAAAATAAGTACATACTTAAAAGTAAAACGGTTTGAAACAACCGGTAATTAAAAGAATCAATTCGACAGCCTGATATTTCAGACAATTAAAAAAGTAATTCCTAAACTTTTCGCGCTTGCAGCATTTACTAATTGGACGTCGTACTTTGTGAAATACCTGCATTTTAACAATGTACTTCCACTCGACCTTACTTCGTTAAATACTTGCATTTTAACGACTCTAAAGAGCTTTAACTTAGAGTGGACTACAAAATATTTTACTTCACAAAAATAATATCTTAATTAAAATCTAATAGTGTACAAAATTGCACTTTTCTATCTCGAACGATGTAGAAATTTTGTTATTCAAACACGCTAAAAATACAAAATTAAATTGCAATATTAAACTGTAGTTGCTGACACTCACTAAAAAATCATTTGATCACAAACAAAAGCGACGTAAATAGCATTTGTGGCAAAAATTATTTTTAAAAAATAAATATTTTTTCCTTTTTCACCTTTCATTTGTGTAAAATTATGTATTTGCAGAGTATATATAAATTGTATTTATACACAAACATATTATGTCATGTGCAATATACAAACATGTAAATATATAAATCAACGTAAAATATATCGGGTAATTCCACTGTTATTTATAAAAGGATTCTTTCATTGTTTTATAATGAATTTTTGTTTTCTTTGCAAAACATCTTATTAAATATAAGTCTATTAGCATAATTATAGATATGTGTGTATACACAATGCAAAGGGAAAAAGGATATAAAAGTAAAAGCTTTTTGTTATTTTCATTATAAAAATAATGAGAAATGTTTTTATTGCGTGTTGTGACTAAATATCAAATGCCAGATATTCCAGTTATTTTATTTTTAATATAAATATAGAATAAAATTAGTTTTTGTTAACGTAACGCTTGAAATTACAAAAAATATATTGATATTCATATAGGTTATTCCAAAATAAATAGTGCTATTTCTACTATTAAATGGTGTTGTGGGAATAACTGATGAAAGGCTAAATTGTTTGCAAGAATTGTCATATACATTTAATGTACACTTTTTACGTCGCACTTATATTTATTACCGACCGCATCGTGCATACAATAAGGTAGGTTATGTGATGGCAACAAATTTTGCATATCGAATTTTCGGTGAAAACACACTTCCCCATGGTAGGGAAGTGTAAATAAACTATTTTTAGTAACCTGTCTGTCTTTATTTGTTTTGGCTATGTCACGGATTGATCAACTTTTAGGGTATATTAGGCCTTGGTATAACTGGACTTTTTTACGGGACAATATCAGATTTTCCCCATATAAAGATAATCAATAAACTTATCATAATCAACTAACTTCCTTGAAATTTAATATTTGAAATTGAATTATTATAATAATAAACCAATGAATTTTTCGAGAATATGAGGGCTCTAATAGAGAACTATCATTAATTTTACGATCGATTTTACATATTTTTTTTTGTATCTCAGTTCTGGTATTCTGTTGTGTTCTGTTTGGTACCGAATGAAATTGACGAATTTCCCAGCGAATTTGAGTCACAGAAAATGAATTGAAGAACTAAATTAGCAGAAAATAAATACGTCGTATAAGTAATTAGTAATATTATTAGTGTAATATGTGATGTTAAGAACAATTTACCGTCAATTTTCATATACCTCTGTGACTCAATTGATAGAGCGTCCGCCTTAAAAGCGATAGGTCACTGGTTCGAGTCCAGTTGAAGGACAAATATTTTTTAATTTTTCTGCTTTTACGCGTCCTTTTGATTACGTCATCCTCTGTTCTGCAGTTGTATTAGGAAATTTCCATTCTTATAAGAATTAATAATATTCTTTCAGAATTAATAATTATAAGAATTGATAATAAATTGTAAAAAAAAAGCATTACACTTTATATAAGTAATTAGTAAAACTTAATTAACATTGTCTAATTTGAATCTAAAATAATCTGATGGAACACCAAACAATGTGGTCGGTTATTTTCTGCTCACATTTGTAAATTACTTTCAGTTTCTCTAGATGAATTCAATTGATTCAACATTTTTGAGTCCGACCAATTAAAAATAAGATTGTTTTCCATTAAAAGTTGTTAAAAAATTACGTATAACAACATTTTTTATGTTATATACTCGTACTTAAACATTGAAACCATAGAGTCTGCTTTTATACTTTAAATCAAAAGTTCATCAGCTTTATTTTAAATGCATGATAAATAACGCATACATGAAAAAACCCAACTAAAATAAAATTGAACAATTTACCAAATATTCATTTATAGTTAAATAAATAAATAATTTTACCTTTACACACACAAACATACGAGCAATAAAATCAATAATTTAAGAGTCTAAGCAAAAGAAAATTTTACAGTGGTAAAAATCAAGAAATTTTACCGAATGAATAAAGAAAAATTTGAATGATTCAAAATTATTAACTAAAATGGAAATCCCCAAAACCAATTAAGTGGTATATGTGCCTTTTAACAACGTAAAACGTAAATCAATCCTTATATAAAATTTAATTTATGTACACCGTATTTTCCAAATGATTAAAAAATGAAAATAAGCAGAAAAAACAAAAATAAAATAATAAAATTTTTCTCTTTTAATTTTCAGACATTCTCCGAATAGAATTCATCATTAAGGGTCTTTTGTTCATCCAGAAAAGTTCATTAATTAAAATTTAAAAAAAAAAGATCAAGAAAATTAATAAAATTTATCCTAAAAGATTAAAAAATTTTTTTCTTCTTTAATTTTAAATTAGAAACGAGTAAAACTAAAAAAATTAATTTATTTCAATCAAAAGAATCAAAAATCAAAAATTTTATCACAATGAAATCTACCTTCGTTTGGTTCATATTTGGCGGAGCAATTTTAATGTTCGGTGGCACAGCAGATGCATGGGGTGGATTATTTAATCGTTTTTCCCCAGAAATGTTACAAAATCTGGGTTATGGAAATCATGGTGGCAGATATAATTCATACATAAACGTAAGTGTTGCATGATACCTAAGTTTTAATTTATGTTTTTATTATTTGCTATTGATGTTGAGATTTCGCAAACTGTATAATGAATTAAAAATATTTTAATTAACATTATTAAAATAGATGGAGCCTTATAAGAGGATTCTTTACAATTTCACAGTCTTTTTCACATGATTCAAATCCATGCACTGTAAAAACAACTTGATTTTCATAATTTTATTATTAGACAAAAATAGAAAATATTTGCATACTTTAGGGATATGGTGAATTATTTTGGTAGTTATTATGGTAGTAAAATTTCTTTTTATTCTTTCTCTTTCTTTATTTAGGTCTTGTAATCTTTAATTTAGTTTATACTCTCACTAAATTTTGTTTTACGCAATTATACAAAAAAAATCTGATGTGGTCAGCACATAACCGACCGCATTGTGTATTGTCTAGTTAAGTGAAAGTGTTACAGAATATTAAAAAAAATGTCTGTTAAATACTTCTTTCCAATGTTTAGGACATTAGTAAGCTTATAGTTAACATACCTAGAAAAATGCAAATTTGGCAGTTAGTAGAGTTTCGCTTTGTGCTACCCGAATTCCTTGAAATGCTCGCCAGTTTGTTTCGGTAGCAACCAGAACTCAAATATCAAATTTCAAAAAATTCCATCAATTCGTTCCGTAGATATGGTGAAAAATGTAAAATCGGCCCGCAGATCAGTTTTCGAGCCCTGATCTTTCCAAAAAACTTACATGTTCATTGTTTTAATACGAGAAATTCAAATATTAAATTTCAATGAAATCGGTTGATTATTTCTCTTTATATACACAAAAATGTATATTTGGCCCGTAGTAAACGTCCAGTTGCTGATGCCTGATTTGTTCCAAAAGTTAGGAATTTTTGCGGACGGTCGAGCAAAGCTCAAATATGTAATTCCAAGTAAATCGGTTGAATATTTTCTTCAAAATGGTGAAAAATGTAAAATCGGCCCGCAAATCAGTTTTCGAGCCCTGATCTTTCCAAAAAATTTATATGTTCATTGTTTTAATACGAGGAATTTATATATTAAATTTCAATGAAACCGGTTGATTATTTCTCTTTATATACACAAAAATGTATATTTGGCCCGTAGTAAACGTCTAGTTGCCGATTCCTGATTTCTTCCAAAACATAGGAATTTTCGCGGACGGTCGAGCTGAGCTTATATATAAAATTTCAAGTAAATCGGTTGAATATTTTCTTCAAAATGTTCAAAAATATAAAACACGCCCGCTAAAAAGTGCAGTTTCCGACGCCTGATATATACCAAAAGTTGATCGATCCGTGCCATGGTGGAAATAAACTTACATATAAAATTTCATCAAAATCGGTTCAGCCAAACTTCAGATACACGTGTGCACACACAGACCGACAGACCGACAGGTTGCTAAAAATAGTTTATTTACACTTCCCTACTATGGAGAAGTACGTTCCCACCGAAAACTGGATATGCAAAATTTGTTGCCATCACATAACCTACCTATTGTTTACACAATACGGTCGGTAAAAAGATAGACAAGTGTAGTTAAAAATAAAATTGTAAAAAACGGGTAATTTTGTCACTCAAAATTCAGATTTTTTTAGGAGGGAAAAAAAATTCTTTTAAGTGGGGCATTAATCATTTGCACTATAAATATATTTGAGCCCTGTTTAAGCATTAATGCTTGCAAGTAAGTAAATACTATTGAAATTAGATTAGACAATTTCAATGCAAAATTGTAATTTCCAGTATTTATAATGGATTAAGCTTTATTATTTATAGCTTACATAATGACCAATTTCAATAATTTAATTTAATAAGTTAAATATTTCTTTGCGTTCTGTGCTTTATTAAAAATTGCTGTGTTCAAACAATTCTTATGCAAGTAGATAATTCTTAAGCTAGTAGTTCAACTTTACAAATGTGCAACTATACTTGCCACTTCCGATTTAATAAAATACATTTAGCAATTTAATATGAGCAACTATTGACACGCAATTATTGTGTGTCCGTGTTCATATGAAATTATTGCTGAAATTAAGGCCCTGAATTAATAAAGAAATCACATATGTATGTATTTTTAAAGAAGTATAAGCTATTCTTTCAATACTACTATTTTTTTCAAGTACTTATTTTAAAATTTTAATAGATACAAGCTTTAATAAATGTAATATTCATTTTAATAAAATTCAAATTTGATTGCCCACAATGCCAAAAAATTAATTTAAAAAAAAATATCATAACATAATAACCTTAGTATATCCTTTTAATCAAGGTTATCATCGTGTATACTAATAAATTTAGGATGATAGAACATCCATTGAAACATTATTCTTTTGTCTTTTTATTGAAAAAAGGACGTCCATATGGCTGCAATGGGAATTGAATCAAAATATTTTGAAAGAATAATACGGTACACCGTTTTTGTTCAAGGAAAAAAAAAATTAAATAAAAATTTTCATTCTTCTAAATTAATTTTTGTCAATGTTAAATTATAACTGAGACCAGTCATGTATACACACCCATTTACAGAACACATTCCTATGTTTACAAATCTGCGCGATAAGAAAATATTAACTGGTTTGTTCTTGGGAAAATAAAAAGTTTAGTTCATTAAAAAGCACCATAAGAAAAATATAACAAACAACTAGCCGGGATCTTTCTGCCTATTCTAAATAAACTTTTTTTACTTTTTCATTTTCTCAAAATAAATGTTTAAAGGTAAAAATCAAGTTCTTTTTGGAAAACGGAAGTTCGAAATCACGTATTTAATTGATCACGTACCTAATTTCACGTACCTAATTTGATCACGTATTTACACATAGGGAAACTTCAAAAGCTGGCGAGTGGTCAACATTTTTAAACGTGAAATTTTACTACTTTTGCAAAAGAAAACTTATTATTAAACTTAAATTATTTATAAAATTAAATGTAGAATTCGGCATAATAAATCTTGAGAACAACATAATGCAACCTATTTAAAACTCAATAGTTTTCAAAGCCAAGTTAAGTCCTACAACGAAAAACATATATTTAACAGTAGTTGACAGTTATTATATAAAGAACAGAAAAGCCTTATAACCAATTCAATCTTTGTGTTTTTTATAACTTATAGCCTCTCAAGATTGGCAAAATATTCAGCTCCTTATTTTCCTAAAATTGAAAACATTTTAAAATTTCTATAAAAATAAAAAACTAAGGATAAAATGTCTTGCCATAAAAAAATCACATTACGTGATAAATACATAACCGACCCAATGTGCATTGCCTAGTTCAGGGAAAGTATTACAGAAGATTATGAAAATGGATTTTGAACACTTCCCTTCAATTTAAAGCATTTAATTAACATATCTAGAAAAGGGTAAATTTGGCTTTTAGTATAGGATTTCGCTTTTTGCCACCCGTTTTCCCTGAAAAGTTCACCAGTTAGTTTCGGTAACAATCGAAATACCTGGTAGTTTCAGAAATTAGTTGATTATTTTTCTTTATGTACACAAAAATGTAAAATTCATCCAATTCCCGAGGTCTGATACATCCCGAAAAATGATCAATGCGTTCCATAGCCAAAATAAACTATAAAATTTCATCAAAATCAATTGAGCCGAACAGACCGATCGACTGACATCTCTCTAAAAGTAGTTTATTTACGCTTTGTATTATTTTAGCTACTATGGAGTTCCCACCGAAAACTCGACATCAAAATTTTGGTGCTATAACATATACGTTATTGTATACAATGCGGTCGACAAATATAATGAATCAGCTATTGAATTCAACAATTATACATAAACGCTTCTTTTGATTTTTGTTCTTGCCTTGAAAGTATCCAATAATTACCATAACTTTATATTAATGAGAACTTCTTCCCCACTTGTTCCTCTACTCTCCCATAAATTAGAAATAGGTAGAATTTGTTTAGTAGACTTTTTTTAAAATAGGGAAGGAGCTTCTTTTTAAATTATTGATTTGATCCGAATTTATACAAATTCAATTTAAAAATGTGAAAACACAGAAGCATGCTATCATTCATGTTATACAAACAAAACTAAAACTTTTGTTATAATATTATGTGTTTTTAATATAAATTATTCATGTACAGAAGGATACATACATATCTTTGAATACATACATATATAAGACATATGTTAACATTCTTATTTCTACTACTTAAGAACAAGAATAACAATTTTTGGAAAAGTTAGAAAAAAATTTACAACACATAAAAGTTGATAAAGAGAAAATTTTAAAAATAGATTAACTTTATAATTTTATTTCGTAAAAATTAATTTTTTTCATATAATGAGAGCTTAACATAATTTCAACCTACTTACATCAGTATAAATTAAGTAAGGGAAACCAAGCATATATTTCATCTTTACACTTTTCTATAAAAAAATTTAGAAACTTTATCAATTTTAAACTCAAAATTCAACTTGATTAAAAAGTTAATTCACTCAATTTTGACAAAAAATCAAAACTTTTTATGCTCGTGTATTAAAACGATATTGACGTTTCTTTAACAGTGACTTATTTGTCACTTTTCTTAAATTATAGACGTACAAGCAGATTCGCATTATTTTAATAAATTTTTAGTTGCATGTGTTTGAGTTTATTCTTGAAGTCCTTCATATTTTTTATACAATCGGAAAAATGTTCACGATGAGGCTTTCAAATTTAAAAACGTTTTTGATTTCAAATTTAACAATTGATTCTTTGTTGACTTAGAAATTAATTTACTAAAAAACAAACCTTCTGTTGTTTTATAGTCACAACGAAGCTAAATGATATTGTAAGTTTATGAATGCTCGTTCTTATTCACAATTTGATTTATTTAATATAATAAGGCGCAACAGCTAACTTACAATCATCTCCATAAGAATGGATTGTCGTTAATCCATTAACATATACAACATGATTTCTACACAATTAAGGTTACTGAACTTTTTCGTTACTTTTTCATTACAATTATTGCCTTTATTGCAATAATTTATCATTCTTT